CCCCTCGAAATCATAGTTTGGCTCAACAGCTAGTGCAGTTTGAAAGCTTTTATGCGAATAGTCAGTAAATATTTACCAGACCTGGGCATTTCTATGCAGACCGCGTCTGCTTAGCTTTGTCTGCATGTCCTTCATCGCTAGGTACACTGTTCACCTGTACCAATTAATCTAAAAATCTCACACCAAACAACTTTTCGAAAAATTGTGCATGAATTCTAATACTGTCCTTTAGGAGCGTTATAGTGTTTAAATTAACACTTTGAGTAGCAGACAACAAGCAAATTATTCCTAAAATTTTCTTATGCAAGAAACATTTTGCGCTACGCTAAAATTCATGAAAACTTTGAAAAATAATGAAGGTTTCAGTTCAAATCTCAACGCATTGCGACCGTCCCTGAATACCTCCATCGTCATCTCTTCAATAGTGATGTTCCGTCCACATCAACAGCTTCGTCTTACCAAATTGAATTACCCACGCTGAGATCAAGCTCTCTTCAGGAGCACTTCAGGTAGGTGGTCTAATGGGCAATTATTAGATAACCGTTGTATTGCAGAATTATCGCAGAGGAACTGACTGAAAAGTACAGGGAATTGCTAGAGGCAGCAGCGGCATTTCCGCTGCAAGTTCCAAAGCCAGCACACTGGAGGTTTGAAACAGGATGGACGAGATATTCTCATAGTGGTGTGGTGGAAAAGGTGAATATTAACATTGCAAAAATCCAAGCTAAAGTAGGAAAACCATTTTCTCGTAGTATAGGAAATCTTTTAAGGGAGTTTCATACACATTTTTCGAGAATAAAGAGGCTTAGCGTTATCAATGCCATCTGGAATTACCATGAATTCCTCGATTGCAAGATTAGTTGCGCCAAAAAAATTATCCTATCCATTTTCCTCAGAAAAACTTGAACAAAGCAGCCGATGTGCTGACGAATTCTGGTGCTCCGCTGAGGTGAGCGGGTTGAAAAAGCGTTTTTCCTGCAGGGTGCATTTTTTGATACTCTTAAACTTTTGCAGTAAACATCATTTTGCGAGTTTCGCAAATTTCTATTCATGACTGTGTTCCATCTGTTATATGTACCATTTTTCGTATGCGGCAAATCTGCATTTGTCAGTCGTAATCAACGAGCATATAGTGGAAAGCTTGCTTTTGTTGGAGAAAAGTCATGTATGGCTAGTTTAGGTGGATCATCCTTGCGAGGATGTATTCTTCTTCGACGTGGAGACCTGCGTGCAGGATGGGCAGCTGGCTACTTTAGCGGTTGCTCTTTCTGATGCAGCTTGGTAAGTTTTTTGCAGAATGTTCAGGAATAGTTGGTGACTTTTTCAGGTATTGCTGGTGCAGTGATCGCCTTGTTAATGACACACCCATGCCAAACGCCGTTCGTCTTGAGCATCTCATTCCCCTTGGAGGTGAACTGAGTAATCTACGTGAACTTCAATTGCAAGTCGATAAGCTTCAGGCTCTGACCAGGCACGCATTGTCATTGGACACAATGTTGGATACGATCGAGCAAGAGCAAGAGAACCGTACTTGCAAAAGGTAGAGTTTTGAATTACTAGGCTCTAGATGCAGTAAGACACAGTGAATTAGTGGTTTACGACGGACACGAATGAGTGGAAATGGCCCATGCCCATAGCCCCATATGGAGGTTTTTAATGTGATTATTTTTGACTTTAAATTTCACGTGAATGATTGATTGGATGAATGTTTGCTGTCCTAAAGTAGTCAAGTTATCATCTAGCAGTGTTATGAATATGGAGGTGATCAGATCACTTTGTTCCCACCTTTACAATCTTCATGAAGAAAAATCGTGAAAGTAATTGCGTTGCACGTGTCTTTTTTCCAAACCGCCTCACTATTTGTACTCATGATTGGTAGTAGTTTTTTTGATGTCACAAGACACTCTCTATGAAGGCGCTTGGAGTATCCATTACGCTAAATACATAATTCTCTCAATTGCCGTACAACGAAAGTGCAGGACAAAAGGCAGGGAAGCGAATGTTACCAAAAACTAAATTGTATCAAATTTTCAATACTAGCGAAAGGAGGCAGAAGATAAATTTGTCTCACATACTGTGTGAATTTGAATGTTTTTGATGTAACGCCGATTAAAGAAATATTCTTGAAATTTTACGAACTTTATCATACTCTCCACTGAACTATTTTAGAAAACAGCCATCCGTTTTATGGATACCATGTCGATGACAATTCCTATGTTTGGCATGGCCGATCATCAAGTGG